CACATGGTGGCTAACAACCATCCGTAACTCCAGTTCCAGGGGACCTGACAACATCGTCTCATATCCACAGGCATCGCATGACACAGTAGCACTTACATACATGCAGACAATACACTCATATACATAAAATAAAAAATATTTTTTTGCCAGGCATGGTGGTGCATGCCTTTAATCCCAGCACTCAGGAGGCAGAGGCAGGCGGATCTCTGTGAATTCAAGGCCAGCCTGGTCTACATAGTTCCAGGACAGCTGGGGCTGCAGGGAGACCCTGTCTCAAAAAGACGCACACGCACATATAAATTTTTTTTAAGCTACACTAAACCCTTTTGATAATATTTATACTATTAGTTTTCCAAACTGAGCCTGATGGGCACACCTGTAATTCTAGCACTTGGGAATAGAGGGTCAAGGTCATCCTTAGATAGCTGGTTTAAGGGTAACCTGGGCTACATGAGAGCTGTCTCTTAAAAAAGAAAAGAAAAAGCTCCCTTTTAATGGTTCTGTGAATGTTTCCTGGTAGTCTTTTTCAGAAATCAGAGTTAGGATTTTATAACACAGGGTTGTTCATTCAGCGGTGTCTACATGCCTGCTGGAGAAGGAAGCGGACAGAGTAGGTGGAGGTATGTTCAGATGGGAGTGGGATGGATGTGTTTAAAGTGTCCAGTGGACTTGCATGCAGAGGAGCTAAGCAAGAGGTGAGGGAGAGAGAGGGCTTGGAAGGAGGGAAGTGGTCAGCCCCCAAGTTCTGGGGGAGCCCGGGGCCAAACCACAGCAGACAGGGGTGCAGGAAGGAGGGCGTGCATGGAGGCAGCAGGGAGGAGCTGGGTCAGGGGTGGTGGGGAAGTAAGGTGGGGTCTGTCCCCACTGCAGTGAGGGACTTGTGGTGGCCTCACATAGGAAGGTGATGGTGTCCACCTATAAGGGTGGCCACAGAGAACAGGCGAGGTGAGCCAGGTGGAGCAGGAGGCTGTTAGAGGTGAAGGTGGCATTGTCCACAGCAGCCACCAAGGAGAGGGTGAGCATGCCAGTCTGGGAAAAGAGCTAGACAGAGGCAGAGAGCTGGGGTAGGAGAGCTGTTGATGCCACATCCAAGATTGAGGAGCAAGTGGTTGTTTGGGAAGGAGTGCAAAGAGTTGTGGAAGTGTTGTAGGTGTGAGAGGCAGGTCTTTACCAATGGCTGCCTGGAAGGACTTGGGCAGAGAGGCCCATCATAACTCTTGGAGCAGCCCTTTGTAGAGCTGGGGATCAAACCCACTGTCTCATGCCTGTTAGGCAAGTGCCACCACTGATAGGCCCCCAGACCACACAACTCTGTTCACTGGTTAAGCCCCTCAGATAGGGGTGGTCATGGCCACCTAACAGTGTGATGGGTGCTCTTTGGGAATTTGTTCCCACTGCTGTGGGCTTAGGTGATAGTCATTAGCCAGGGCAGTCATTTGTATCCAAGCCAGATTTGTTGTTATTATTGACCTTTAATAGGTTTAGATTTAGGGCCAGGAGCTGGAGAGATGTTTCAGTGGTTAGGATCACTTGCTGCTCTTGCAGAGGACCTAAGGTCATCTCTAGCACTCAAATCAGGCAGCTTACAACCCCCTGTAACTCCAGCTCCAGGATATCTGGCTTCCTCTTCTGGCCTTGCACTCATACATACAAACTACACACAGACACATATGCATATGTATAATTTGAAGGAAAAAAAATTTAGGGCTGGCAAGACCATTCAGTCTAATGTTTGATTTCTAGGGCCCACATGGTGGAAGGACAGAACTGACTCCTGCACATCGCCACCTGATTACAAACACAGCATTAAGTATAAATGGAGTAAAAAGTGTTAGCTTTAAGTCCTTTGTTGGGGAGCGGTACAGCCATGTGAGTGTTGAGTGCACACACATGAAGCTGGAGCAGGAACGCCCGCTCTCGTTGGCCTCAAGACATGGTATGGGCTCTCTCTCGACCAGAAGCTGCCTGTGTCCACCCTCAGTGCTGGCTTGCAAACACACCCAGCCGTGCTCTGCTCTCAGCGTGAGTGCTGGTGTTGCTCAGACCCTCATACTTGCAGGTGTTCCTAGCCATTGAGCCACCTCCCGCTCCACCCCTTCATACGTAACTTTTCTGAACAAATTTTTGCTTGGCTTTTTGCCTACGATGTCCAAACCTCTTTTTAGTTTCGTGTTTGTCCTAGGAGACATGATCTAGTACAGCTGATTGTGCAGATATTTTCTGGTATTTTCCAAACCAGTGAGTCAAAGGATACTATTAGGTTTTTGTTGCTTTCTTTCAAGAACTGCATGTGCTATTATTTAATGTGTTTTCAGTCAACTGGCTCCTTTTTAAATTATGTTTTTATGTGTATGCATATTTTCTCTGCATGTATGTAAGTGTACCGTGCACATGCAATGCCCACAGAGGTCAGAAGAGGCCTTCTGGGGGCAGGAGAAATGGCTGTGTTTAAGAGCTCTGGCTGCTCTTGCAGAGGACCCAGGTTTGATTCCCAGTACCCACATGGCAGCTAACAGCCACCCATAGCTCCAGTTCCAGGGATCAGATGCCCTCTTCTGACCTCAGCAGGCATTGCACAACACAGGTGCACCTACCTTCATGCAGACATTACACTCACACATATAATTTTTTTTTTTTTAAAGAGGGCATCAGATCCCTTAGAATTGAAGTAACAGATGGTTGTCAGCTGCCACATGGGCACTGGGAACTGAACCCAGGTCCTTTGTAAGAGCAGCTAGTGCTCTTAACTGCTGAGCCATCTCTCCAGTCCCCTTAGCTGGCTCTTTTGCTTACATTTATTTTGAAAGGAAACCTTGGTTCTCTAGCCAATCTTCTCAGTCTCCACCATTGTCTGATCCTTAGATCCAGGGTGGTAATATTATTGTGATTGTTTCCCTCATGTGCATCTCTATCATAAACTGTTCTAATCATTTAATCCAGTTGGGAAGTTGGCACTGGCTCAGTTGGTAAGGTACTTGCTTTGCAAGAATGGGACCTGAGTTCCAGTGTTAGCACCCAAATATGAAGGTAGACACGGTATAGACACTTGTAACCTCAGTGCTGTGGAGGTCGAGATGGGATCCCTGGGGCTCACTGGCCAGTGAGATACCCTGTCTCATAAAACAAGATGAACAGCACCTGAGGAACACCATTTGAGATGTTACCTCTAGCCTGCTCATGTGCACAGCCAAACAAAAATTTTTTAAAAATATTTATTTTTGTGTGTGAATACAAGTGCCTGCAGAGTCCAGAAGAGGGCATCAGATCCTGTAAAGTTGGAGTTGTAGATGGTTGTGAGCTGCCTCATGTGGGTGCTGGGAACCAAACCTGGGTCCTCTGCAAGACCAGCCAGTGCTCTTAACCATTGAGCCATTTCTCCGGCCCCACAAACACTTTTTTTTTTTTTTTTAAAAAAAGAAGCTTGCTATTACTATAAATGAGAAATTGGGATAGTGCTATTTGCTCTAGTAGTTTGGTGGTATTAGGTACACACAGGACAAGTACTCTGCCACTGAACTGCACTCTCAGGCCATAAAGAAGTTCCTTTTTTTTGGTGCTGGGGATTGAACCAAGACCTCTCAAATGCTAGGCAAGTGCTCTGTCACTCACTGCACCACTTCTCAGCCTAAGACCAGCAATAAAGGTGAAGCCACTAAAGTCACCTGGTGAGCAGCTCCATCCTTCGGACACTCACACCAAATCCTGGGTGCTAGAATTGGCCTCTGTTTCTCAGACACATTGCGGGCCACCTGACAGAAGTCCAGTCATCTGGGACCTCTGAAGTGCCTGGCACTATGGACTTCTCAGTACCATGAGTGCTGTCCCATCTCGGCATTTGTTCCATTGTGTTGTCGCCCCATTCCCTTGTCTCAGTTGGTGTCTATGCTGTTCCTTGACTCTTAAGAAAAATCCAGCCTCTGGGCTTTTGCACATGCTGTTCCTCGGCCTCAGAACCTCTCCTCACCTGCATAGTCACACGTTGCTTTGTCTCCATTTGCAGCAGGTGCACCTCCCCAGCCTGTCACAGTTATTCTGTGCTTATTCTGTCTACCCTGAGGCCCCTTAGGGTGGTGATCTCAAGGAAAACAGGCCTACCTGTTTCCCAGTGCCCAGGGAGGAAGGGCCTACAAGGGAGGGGGTTAGTGCTGACCTGGGCCCCAGGCTTCAAGAAGCCCAGAATATGCTCGGCAGTCCTCTTGGTCCTGCAGGACCCTCGCTCCACTGTCCTTAGGGTGAGAACTTCTAGTCTGGCCAGATGGGGATTTGGTGTTCAAGGCAAAGAGAACAGGTAACTTGAGTGGATCCTGAGTTTTTTCCCAGGGAGAGTTGGGGAGGAGGCCAGGAACCAGCCCTCTGGTGTTAATTACCACAGCAATGCCCCCCCCCCCCCCCCGAGCCTGGAGGTGGCTCAAGGTTCAGGAGTTTGGGTGTGGACTTGGGTAACATTTGTGTATTGCCTTCATGGCAGTTTGCTGGGCTTTGTAAACCAGAGAGCCATTGTCCTTGTAGCATTACCACCAGTTAGAGGGGCTATGGTTTGCAGAACGGAAAAGGCTTGAAAGTTTCATCCTGGCACGTACACTGATGACTGCTTGAGAGTTGTCTCGGCCAGGAGCATCCCCACAGTCTCCCCTGCCGTCTCCAGTATGCAAGCCGGCTGCCTAGGAGGAACCCCGTTTCCCAGGGCGCAGTGGCCACACTTGGCACTTGGTACTGGAGTTCTCTCACCCATCTCAGATCCCCAGGGAGCCGCAGTGAGATTGGAAACACTGGGTGGAACACACATGTGGAAGGGCTAAGATGGGGTGAGACTATCCTTCTCGCTACCCAGGGCTTTGTGTATGGTACAGGTGTGGCAGCCACTGCTGCAGACATGACAGCCAGTAGAGCTGTGTGCATGCTGCCCTTGGTGTCCCCAGATAGCAACCATGGATGCCTGCTTTAGGCTTATGAGACCCCTGGACTTGCTAGTATCTTGAATTTCTTTCCATTTATTTTAGGAGTAAAAGTCCCTCGAAATTTCCGACTGTTGGAAGAACTGGAAGAAGGCCAGAAAGGAGTAGGAGATGGCACAGTTAGCTGGGGTCTAGAAGATGACGAAGACATGACACTTACAAGATGGACAGGGATGATTATTGGGCCTCCAAGAGTAAGCGTCGAGCTACGGCTATAACTGTCACTGTCTTAAATTCACTGCCTCCTTTTAAAACACTGGTAGCCTTGTCACGGAAAAAGCTCACCAATGGTATATTTTCTGAAATGTGGCTATTCTTTTTTTGACCAGTTTCAATTTATATATGTGAACCTCCTCTGATGCGGTTTAATCCCTCTCTATGGTAAGCAAATTCCTGTTTAGACCCAACGGTGTGAATTTGTACTGATGCAGACAGGCCTCTGTTCGCTGTGCCCTAGAGTTCAGAACAACTGCACATTCATTGGCTGACAGCAGCAGATGGCAGTGTTCCTGAGGCTAGCCCCTGGTTCATAGGTGTCTGTGCCCCTGTGTCCTTCTGCCTGTCATTCTGCTGTGCCCAGGGGTCTTTTCAAAGGCCCACACCAGGGTGGTGGAAAGTGATCTCTTTGAGAGCTCTGTGGTTTGTGGGGTTTCAGAGGCCTGTTGTGAGAGTGCAGGCTTCACCTCTGGAAGTGCTGGTCAGTGCTCATGAGGCACTGTTATGCATTCCAGGTCACAGATGGGGGAAGCAGATTCAGGACTGAAGTCATCAGCACAGAGCCAGCAACTCCCAGCCCTGGTCTGTGTGCCCAGGCTACCCTCTCCCCTTCCTCCAGCCATGACACCCTCCTGTCAAGAAGTTGAGTTTTCATTGCTCACCACTACAGTGGTGGGATCAGAGTGTTAGATAATGACTTGGTGACTTGGTGCAGGAGTTGGGGGAAGCGCTCAGAATAGGGGACTCTGGCAGATGAGCCCTGTGGCCTGACTGTGGTAGGACCTGTGGAGTGTTTATACCTAAAAATGGCAGCTTCCTTCTTTCTCAGCATGTGGGGGTTGGGGGAGGCGCTGCCTATGGGCTGGGAGGACACAGGATATGGCCCAGGCAGGAGCTGACATCTGTCCCTGGTGCATTAGCAGTCAGAGACTCCCAAGCTTGTCACAGAGGGTTGTTGATACACTTGGAAATTAAGGGCCTTACCATTTACTCCTGTTTTCCCAAGTCTTTTTTTTTTTTTTTTTGGTCTGTTTTTTGAGACAGGGTCTCCCAGTAGCCCCAGCTGGCCTGGAACTCACTATGTAGACCAGGCTGGCCTTGAACTCACAGAGATCTGCCTGCCTCTGCCTCCTGAGTGCTGGGATTAAAGGTGTGCACCACCATGCCCGGCCCCAAGTCATTTTTTAAACTCCATGATGATGCTTTATATACAGAGTTCTGGTAATCTGGTTTTACTCATTTCTTCATCCTTATCCTGGCACCAGATTGTAATCTTTAGGTAGAGTTCTGGGGAAAGCCCACTGGGAAACCTTGCTTCTCTGGACTGCTCCTTCCTGCCTGTGTCTTCTCAAGGGGATCCTGCTTGAGGAGGATCTGGGAAATAGCTTGGGGTCAGGCAGCTGCTCAGGAGGCCTATGAACCAGCTCACTCATGGGCTCATTCAGGATAAGAGCAGACCAGGGAGGGCACCAAATGCACTAGATTTTTAGAGACCTGAGTAAAAATCCAAAACAAGAAATGGACATGGTGGCACTCCCCTGTAATCCCAGCAGTGTGGAGATGGCAGCAGGAAGATCAGGAGGTCAAGGCCCTTGGCTACACAGGGAGGTCCAGACCATGCCACATACTTGAGAACCTGCCTCCAAGCACAAACAAACGGAAGGCAGTAAGCCTGTAAGTTCTGTTTGAAATGCTCTCTTCTACTTCATTGTCTGAGCTGGGTGTGGTGGGGCACACCTGCAAACCCACCTGTAAACAGGAGGTAGAGGAAGGAGGGTTTCTGCAAGTTCCAGGCAGCCTGGGCTCCATAGCAAGATCTCAATGAGCAGCATAAGCGCTAAGTGCCTTCTCTGTGTCTAGGTGTGTGTATTTGTACACATAGCTCAGATGTTGGGAACCTCAAGCCATGCCTGGTTTGCCACTGAGCCACACCCCAGACCCATCTGTGCATTTGTTGTCTTGAGCCAGGCTGACAGCTCACACCTACAATCCCAGCTGGGAGGCTGAGGCAGGAGGATCACTAAGGGTTGGAGGCCAATCTGGACTACATACCCAGACCCTATCTCAAAAGGCGGATAGGATGTGGGTGTGTGCTTAGCACGTGAGTGCAGGTACCCGCACAGGCCTCTGGTCTGAGATCTCCCTGGAACTGAGTTATAAGAGGCTGTAAGCGGCCCACCATGAGTTCTGGGAACCAAACTTGGGTCCTCTGCAAGAGCTGGATAAGGTCTTTGCAGCCGAACTGTCTCCAGCCCCCATCCCTTGGTTTGTGGGATACGGTGTAATTATGGCTTAAGATTCCACTGCTGCTTCTCAAGTGCTGAGCCCACAGATGTGTGTCATCGCATAGCTTAGGCACACTCTTTAATTGATTGTTTAATTAATTAATTAATTGGTCTTTTTGAGACAGGGTCTCCCTGTAGCCCCAGCTGGCCTGGATTCATTATATAGACCAGGCTGGCTTTGAACTCACAAGAGATCTGCCTGCCTCTGTCTCCCAATTGGTGGGATTAAAGGTGTGTGCCACCATGCCTGGCTAGGGCACTCTTAAAAGACTGTTGAACCAGGCAGGGCGTGGTGGTGCACGCCTTTAGTCCCAGCACTCGGGAGGCAGAGGCAGGCAGATCTCTTGTGAGTTCAAGGCCATCCTGGTCTACGTAGCAAATCCAGGCCAGCTGGGGCTACAGGGAGACCCTGTCTCAAAAAAAGCGAGGGGAAAAAAAAAAAAAGTCATAAAAGCAACTATTTGTAGGTGCGTCCTGTCACCATTCTCTTTTATGATTGATGTAAAAGGTACGTGCCCTGTAGCAAACATAGGACCTCTTGGTTTTTGAGTTGGGGTTTCACAGAGCTTAGGTTGGTTTTTGAACTCCTGATCTCCTGCCTCCACCTTTCAAGCGCTGCAGTTACAGGTATGCATTATCACACCATGTTTTGATGCAGTTGTTAACTTTTTTCCTCCAATGTATATATTTATTGAATTTTGTGGGTTTCATACAATACATCTTAATGATATTTAGGCACTCCCCCATACTCCACCCACAGGTTTTCACGCGTTCTGCACGCGTTAAGGCCTATGGAGTCAAGTTTGTGTACCCAGATGTCCCTCAACGTGAGTTCATCCACTGGAACCCATTCAGCCTATCATTCCCTTAAAGAAGGTCAGCTCTCCCTCACCCAGGAGTGATCAGCTGCTGATAGTTCCTCAGCTACAGTTGGGGCCTCCTGTCCATTTCCCCAGTTCTGTGCTGGATTTTGTTTAATTGAATTTGCATGGGTCTTGTGCATGCTGTCAACATTGCTGCAAGTTCCCAGGAGCCAGTAACACTGTTTCCTTATGGGCATGCACAAACCCTGATTCTTAGAATCTTTCTGTACCCTCTTGCACAATGGTCCCTGAGCCCTGGATGGGTGAGGTTTAATAAACAGGAGTCCTACCCAGGAACATGTACTCTACAGACCAATTGTGGCCTTCTGTGTTCGCCACACTCTGCTGCATGAGGAAGCTTCGCTGGTGAGAGCTAAGAGATGCATTGGTGTTCTCTCTACTCCCTGTCCACTATGTTTCATGAAGCTTAGGTGTAGAGGTTCCATTGTAGATGTGTCAGTTAGGGTTGGGCATCTCACAGACACTTATTCTCTGTGTGTTTTGAACTCTGTACTAGTCTCTGTTGCAAAAGAAACTTCTTTGATGAGTGGAGACTGGTATACTTGTCTATAAATATAAGGATCCTTGATCCTTTTTGTTGTTGTTCTTTTTGAGACAGGGTCTCCCTGTAGCCTTGGCTGACCTGGAACTCACTATGTAGACCAGGCTGGCTTTGCACTCACAGAGATCTGCCTGCTTCTGCCTCCCCAGTGCTGGGATTAAAGGTGATTAAAGACGTGTGCTACCACACCTGGCTCTTTTTATTTAACTTTATGTGTATGAGTGTATTGCCTGCATGTATTAAGTGTACCTGTGTCATGCAGTGCCTGCAGAGAGCAGAAGAGAGCATCAGATCCCCCTGGAACTGGAGTTACAGACGAATGTTAGCTCCTATATGGATGTTGGAAATTGAACCTGGGTCCTGTGGAAGAATAGCCAGTGCTCTTAGCTGAGCCATCTCTACAGCTTCCAACTTTTTTGTTTGTTTTTTTGAGACAGGTCCGACTCTGTAGCCCTGGCTGGTCTCCATGGGCATCTGCACACATTTGTATACAGACATAGACATATACAGAAATAATAAAATCTTTACATTTATTTATGTGTGTGTGCAACATATGCGTGTATTACAATGTGTGTGTGGAAGTCACAGGACAACTTGCAAGAGTCGCTTCTCCTCTTTTACCGTATGGACCCAGGGATGAACCTCAGGTCGTCAAGCCTGGTGGCAAGCACCTTTACCCACTGAAGCAACTTGCTGGCCCTTGCCATATTAGTAAAGCACCTGAGTAACTCACCTCCTTATTTAGTATTTATTGCAGTGCTGGAGATCAAACCTAGAACCTTGTACATGTTAGGCAGGTATTGTTCCTCTGAGCCACAGCCCAGCCTCTTTTAGTTTTGAGTCAAGATCTCACCAAGTTGAGTTGCCCAGACTGCCCTTAAACTCTCTGTAGGCCTCGCTGCCCTTGAACTTGGAATCGTCCTATCTTAGCCACCTGAATAGTTGGGATTACAGGCATTTACAGACGAGTCTTTCTAGTTATGTGTATGAGTGTTTTGCCTGCATGTAAGTGCACCCATGCATACAATGCCTGAGGAGGCCAGAAGATGGCATTGGATCCCCTGGATCTGGAGTTATGAACATTGTTAGCTGCTCTGTGGGTACTAGGACCCAAACCCCAGGTCTTTTGCAAGAGCAGCCAGTGCTCTTAACTGCTGAGCCATCTCTCCAGCTCCTAATTATTTAATTTTTTAAAAAAATTTTGCCGGGCGTGATGGTGCACTCCTTTAATCTCAGCACTTGGGAGGCAGAGGCAGGCGAATCTCTGTGAGTTTGAGGCCAGCCTGGTCTACATGGTGAGTTCCAGGACAGCTGGGACTACAGGGAGACCCTGTCTCCAAAAAAGACAAAAAATTGTTTCTTTCCATTTGTATGAGTGTTTTGCCCACATGTATGTAACAGTCCAGTGAGTGCCACTGCTGCTTCTGTTATTTTGCTTCTGCTGAAGATGCAGCATAAAATAATTCAGTGGACCATGTTATGCAATATCCAGCTGCTGACAAATGTCTGTGTGTGAGTGCCAATGGGCTCCATGCCTGGGATGCTTGCAGGCCAAGGTCTGAGTACTCTTGTGCTATAGGGTGCCTTGCGGAGAACATGGGAGCAGGAGACACTGGCTGTGTGCCCAGGCTGGCCTGACTTGTTCCTCTACACCAGTAGTGGGAAGCCTCATTGTAAAAGGTGGTTGGTTGTGTTGGGACTCTGCAGCAGGGTATGTGTCGGTCAGTAGGCTCCCAGCCCCTCATGGTCCGCTTACTACAGGACTACACCCCATTGTTTTTCCTCATCAGTTGGCGTCCCACTAAGGTGGCACCTCTCAAGGTCACAGGAGAGCATGTAAAGGATAGGAGTGTGCGGAGAAGGGTGGGCCATGTCCTGCTTGCCTGTTATCTGTGCCCTCCCTACCAACCCTTCACCCTGGCATTGGCAGTGGGGTTCAGCTTCTGCTTTTATTACGTAGTAAGAGCCGGACCCCAGCCTCTCCACAGACATTGGTATTCAGTTTTAAGGGTCTTATTCCTTGGGCCCAGTATGGGAGCTTAGCTCCCTGCTTGTTGCTGCACTTACCCTGGGCAAACCCAGCTCCCTTGAGGCCTCTGTTAGATTCCGTTTGCAGTTCCCAGTGTGCGCTTCTCTAGTCCCCCACCTGAGCCCTTCATGGTGTCTCCCAAAAGGGCTTTTGCTAAGTGTTATCTCCTCAGAGGCAGAGTGCTTGTTTCCATTTCGGGGTTTTTTTGGGGGGGGGGGCATCTTTTTACAACAGGGTCTCCCTGTAGCCCCAGCTGGCCTGGAACTCATTATGTAGACCAGGCTGGCCTTGAACTAACAGATCTGCCTGCCTCTGCCTCTTGAGTGCTGCTGCTGAAAGGCGTGTGCCACCACATCTGGCTTAGTTTTGGTTTTATGAAGTAGGATCTCATGTAGCCCAGTCTACCTCAGACTCTATATAGACTTCAGCTTCTGACCCTCCTCCTGCTTCTACTTTCCAATGCTGAGATTATAGCTTGTGTCATGGTTTCTGTATTTAGATTTTGTATTCTTTGCATTTTTTTGTTTGTTCGTTTGTTTTGAGCCCCAGCTGGCCCAGGCTGGCCTTGAACTCACAGAGATCTGCCTGCCTCTTTAGTCCTGGGACTAAAGGCATACGCCACCATGCCCGGCTCTTTGCATGTTTTAATGGCAAATTCTTATTCTTTTCAAATTCTTCTCTCATAATTTCCATATTTTTTGATTAAGTGTGTTTTAGCATGCTTAAATTTACAGAAAAATTGCACAGGCAATGCAGAAAGTTCTCTGCGCAGCAGTCCACTCCATCCAGCAACAGAGGTGTTGGTACAGTACATGTTCATGGTGAAATAAATGTCATATGTGTAATCAGCCATGGTGGATCACCTATGATCTAGCACTGCAAGCTGATGCAGGAAGATCTCAAGTTCCAGGGCAGCCTGGGCTATTTAGTGAGACCCTGCCTCAAAAAGAAAAGAAAACGGCTGGAAAGTTGGCTCAGTGGTTAAAAGTACTGGCTGCTCTTGCAGAGGGTCTGGGTTTGGTTCCCAGCAGCCACATAGTGGCTAACAACCATCCATAACTCCAGTTCCAGGTGAATTTGATGCCCTCTTCTGGTCTCCACTGGTGCTCTATGCACATGATGCACATATATGCATGCAAGGAAAACACTCATAAAATTAAAATACATAAAATACTTAAAACCCATACTTTATTTAAGTTGGTTTCTGCTGTCACAGCGCCTCACATTCTGGTGCATGGTAGGAACCCATCAGAAGAAAGCTGCTAGGAATGGCTTGCTGTCCAGGCATGCCCTGTCCCCTGAGCCAGACAATGCCAGAGCGCCAGGGAAGCTTGGGCCGTGCCATCAGCATAGAGAGCATTTGCATCTTGCGGCTTTCTTTGACATGCAATAACTGTACAAATTTATGGGATTCATTATGATAATTTGATATATGTGTACATACAGTGTATACTGATCAACCCAGGATAATTGGCATTTTGATCTCTAACCAGTGACTGGAGAGCAACCTTTATAGTGGTGTATGACACACACCTGTGATCCCAGCACTTAGGAGGAGAAGCAAGAGGGTCATAGGAGCTTGAGGCCACCTTTCAGCTACATCCTGAGTTCCAGACCAGCCTGAGTCAAAATACAAAAGCCAAGGAAAACAAAAAACAGCTGTATGTAATGGCACATGCCAGGCAGATCTCTGTGAGTTAGAGGCCAGCCTGATATATAAGACTTCCTGACCAATTAGAGCTACATGGAAGGACTGTATCTCAAAAAAAAAAAAAGGAAGAGAAAAAGAAAAAAACACAGAAAACAAGAAAAACACAGAGAGACTGGTAAGGTGGCTCAGCAGGTAAGCATGTGCTTGCTATGCAAGCATGAGGACCTGAGTTCAAATCCCTAGCAGCCATGTCAAAAGCTGGTGTGGTCTCATGCACCTGTAACACCAGTACTGTGGGGATGGAGACAGGAGGATCACTGGGCCTTGGCCACCAGCCTGGCTCCAGGTTCAGTGTCTCCAGCAAGTTGCAAACTAGGGAGACCTTAGCAGATGCAGGCCACTAGCGCACAAACCATGGGAGGCCATGCCTCCACCCAGACACCATGCAGAGTGCCTAGGGTTTTGCTGGCCACACTGGACAGCTGGTGGGTTCCGCCATTCCCTGGGGGCGAGATAGAGGAGGCACAGGCTGAGGTAGTGAGACCCAGAGGGCTGGCTCAGTCAGCTGGGGATGAAACTGGTTTATAGGAGTAACCCTGAACCTCACCTGAGGGTGTGGCCCTCGGTTTAAGAAACTGGCTCATTCCCCTGGAGACCCGTAGGTGGCACTGTTTGCACAGCAGCAGTTGCTGTGAACACCCAACACCAGAGACAGGATCTGTGCAGGGTGGCCCTTGCTCTCCAGGGCATGACACTCCCTTCAGTGTGGTCTTTAGACACAGAACAGTATAACTTCCTGTTAGACACAAAGCAAGGGCTGTATGATGTTTGAGGTTGTGTGATGGATCTGGTGCGGTGGGCACTTGAGGCAGGAGCAGCAGCCTGGCACTGTCACATATTCTGGTGCTGGGCATTGCAGTCAAATGTGAGCATGAGGTTGGCCTTCCCTGGTTCTCAGCAGAGGCACACTTGGCTCAGGGTGGGGTGCATGTCACAGAGTGTATAGGCGTCAGAAGACAACTCTGTGGAGTCATTTCTCTCTCTACCTTGACATGGGTTCCTGGGATCAAACTCAAGATTATCAGACCTGTATAGCAAGTGCCTTTATACACTGAAGCATCTTTTTGTCCCTAAACAGCATTTTATTTTCAACAGGGTCTTACATAGCCCAGGCTGTCCTCAATTTCACTGAGTAGCTGAGGTAACTTCGAACTTCTTTTTTTTTTGGTCTTTTTGAGACAGGGTCTCCCTTGTAGCCCCAGCTGTCCTAGATTTATCATGAAGATCAGGCTGGCCTCTAACTCACAGAGATCCTCCTGCCTCTGCCTCCTGAGTGCTGGTATTAAAGGCGTGCGCCACCATGCCCAGGAACTTCAAACTTTTGATCCTCCTGCTCCAGTTCCCCAAGTGCTGGGGTTATAGGTGTACACCACCACATCCAGCCTCTGTTGACGTAGTGAGACTTTGTACCTTGGATAGCCTAGAACATGCAATGTAGACCAGGTTGTCCTTGAACTCCCAAATCCGCCTGCCTCTGCCTCCTGAGTACTGGGACTAAGGTCCTTGGTCCTCCAAGGTTCATGCTGTCACTGGGTCAGCTTCATGGCCTTGTTCCTTACCTACTTGATGATGCCAGGCCCTCTCAAGGTACCATAGAAGAAGCTCCTGAGTCCTGGCACTTAACCAGTGGAGACCCTTCTGCAGTGCCTAGCCTGGAGTGACGGGGAGGGCAAGAAGTGGCCCGTTCCACAGAGAGTAGCAGACCTGCCGAGGGTTGTGGTGACTGCGGGCCCACGTGGGCCCATTGACACTTCAGGCCTGAGTAACACTAGTGTCTTGCTTTTCCCCAAGCCCAGGGCCCTGCGGCCAGCTGGGACTTGCACCATCCAGCTGCCCACAGCAGCTGCACCCTTGTGCCATCTGAGGGGTGACAAGAGTCTTGGCAGCTGCCCTCCTAACTCTTCGTAACTGCTTGACATCTCTGTACCCTTTTTTTTTTTTCCAGACAATTTATGAAAACCGAATATACAGCCTTAAAATAGAATGTGGACCCAAATACCCAGAAGCACCCCCCTTTGTAAGATTTGTAACAAAAATTAACATGAATGGCGTCAATAGTTCTAATGGCGTGGTAAGTAGCTTCTCCCACCCAGCCTGTACTGTGTTGAACCACCAGGGCTTGGCCGGCCTGTGTGCATGCTCTCCGTTATCTGGTGCAGGTTAGTCTTATGTGTCTGCAGCTTTGGGCAGGGCCACTGTCCATTGTGTCTTGTCACTCACCTGAGCTCACTCCAGCCAGCCCTGTGCTGATAAGAGGCTCCCTTCTGTGCTCCTGATGCTGAGGTGGAGATGAGGAAGCAGACACAGAGGCAAGGCCTTCCCACACCTCTTCTCCTGCACCTTGGCCACAGGCACCTGACATTTTTCTTAACGCTGTTTTTGAGACAATCCCGCTCTAGCCCAGGCTGGCTTGGGGCTCATTATGTAGCATGGGCTGGCCTCTCCCCATGGCGGGCCTCTGCCCGAGGTGGTCCTCCTGTCTTAGCCTCTGAGTGCTGGAGTTGTAGGTGTCACTGTGCCCAACAGAGACCTGACTTTTTAAGCTCCACACAGTCACACCATGCCCAGCCTCTGTCCTTTGGGTCTTCAGAACATGGCAGAAAGAGCTAGAGATGAACTGTCCTCTGTGTATCCTGTGTGTAGCACTGTATTGGGACCATCAGTCCCAAGTCTGGTGCTTTGGGGGACACCTGGGCGCCTTACTGCCCTCCCACCCTTAGCCCACCCTGGGCATGGGTGGTACAGGTGCAGGCCAAGAGAGGCCCAGGTCGGGCCAGGCTGAGTCTCACCAAGTGCCACATCATTACTCGTTTCCGCACACCAGGACGCAGAAAGGGGCAGCAGGCCGCCGTCTCTGTCGTCATAGGGCAGCAGACCACCACAGGGACGCCGGCCTGGTGCAGCCTGGGTATGATGGGGGCCATGTGGGTGCAGCCTACTAACTCAGGGAAGGCTTTGGTCCTGAACTGGGGTAATCTGGATACTTTACTTTCTGTAGGTGGACCCAAGAGCCACATCAGTGCTGGCCAAGTGGCAGAATTCCCACAGCATCAAGGTCATCCTGCAAGAGCTTCGGCGCCTAATGATGTTGAAAGAGAACGTGAAGCTGCCGCAGCCCCCGGAAGGACAGTGTTATAGCAATTAATTGCCAGGAGCCCGGCCTCCCTCCCCCATCCAATCTAAATCTTCATTTTCCACAGTAGTACATTTTCTAGATACATCTTGTAGACCTCAAAGTACTGGAGTGGAAGCTCCTGCTCCAAGGCAGTCATCTTAAGATACTGTACGTGATACTAATTTTTTTTTGTCCATTTGAAATATCTAAGTTGTGCAACATAACAGACCATCCCATCAAGTGTAACCACTGTCCACGTAGGTGAACTCTGGGATCACGAAGGTGTATTGAAATCGGTTCCCATCAGGAGTGGTGGGGCACAGCTAATGCAACTGTGAACAGACACGTCACACAATCACCTGCTGCTGACACGCCTGGGTCTGCCTTCACCCTCTGCCATAGCCGTGCGTGGTGGCCCTTTAGAGTAGATGGGAAGGCTTCAGGTAGCAGCCCGTTGGACTACTGCTGGGTTTCGGGGTGCTTTGCCTGTACCCCTGCTTTCTTAAGTCTTAAAGTGACACCCCTCACAAGCCATCGTCCTATCCCCATCCACCCCAGCTGTGGCCGAAGCAGATTGTAACCCTTCACTCCCTCTGAAATTGGCCTTCAGTGAGGGATTCAGGGCTTCCCGTCTCTTCCCCCCACCTTTATCGGGGTGCTGCTTTCTCCCTCCTCCACACCCTTGTTCCCCATCACCACCGGATACTTCCACAACACGTGCTGTGGCCAGAAGCCATCAGATGAGGTTGCAAGAGCCTGGCCTCACTTAGCTCCGGAACCACACTTGTTCTCACGCCACCAGCCTGGAAAGTGAGTGCCCGGTCCTCGGCCCTGCGGTCATCAGCCAACGTGCTTTGAGCTCAGGTCTCCATGTGAACACAGCAGTCACAGAGTGACTCAGACCTGCCGGCGCTCAGAGTCCTTGGTTACACCTGGAGAGAGGCCTCAGACACGCTAAGCACACACGGGTCAGAGTCAGTTCCTTTTCCTGTAATTGATTTGCTTTTAAACAAGAAGGTTTGAAGAGGGCTCTCGTGGTCACCCTGGCCATCCATCGGGTCTAGTGTGGAACCTGACATCTGGGAACAAGAGGCCCTGACCCAGGTGGACTCTGGGTTCGGTGCTGCTGCTCCTCAGCCCCTCGGCAGGGACTCAGATTTGTGGGCCTGGCCTCCTGGCACGCTGCCCCATCTCCCACTTTTCTGTTCAGGACCACTAAATGCTGAAATGTGGATGCGTACTGAAATAAAGGCAATTCATTGTGTTCCGAAAGGGTTGTTTTGTTAGCATTTGTGTAAAATCATCTGTTGAAGTGTCACGTCGGAAAAGCAGTTGATGTTTGTGCTCACTCTCTGGGGCAAACTTAGTTCTATGGGTTTACCATCCTATAAGTCAAGTCTAACTGTTCATGAGCAGCCTTTTCCTGTCAGACCATTGCCTGATTCACTGTAATAAACAAATGTACGTTACTCTCAGCAGGCTGTGCTCCTCTTCCTCCAAGCCCAGTCACTGGGTGCGTTGAGTTCTGTAGATGCTCTGGGGATCAGGTTAATGTCTGAAAGCAGGGGTTCCCCTCTTGTAGAAAAAGATTTAGGGTTTTTAGTCAAGAGGCAAAATCTAGGCTCTTCTATGACAGCTTACACACAGTGAACGAGAACAGATGTGAGTGATTCATGAAACCCAGTGGTTACTGTGTACTCCCTCGTGACAGTTGCTAGCCTGCTGTGTGAGTGGATTGGCTCAGGCGGCATTCCGACCGGTGAGGCTCAATCTTCCAGAGACTGTCAGAAGCAGGCCAGGTTGACCTGCATACTGTTTGCTTTCTCTATCCCCAGAGATGAGTTTTCAAAAGGTCCTTGGGGGCGGAGGCAGGAAGATCAGGAGTTTGGGCTACATAGGAAACCCTGTCTGAGAAAACAGTAGCTGAGCATGGTGGTAAAAACCTGTAGCCTCGCCGGGCATAGTGGCACAGGCCTTTAATCCCAGCACTCGGGAGGCAGAGGCAGGCAGATTTCTGTGAGTTCAAGGCCAGCCTGGTCTCCATAGTGAATCCAGGACAGCTGGGGCTACAGGGAGACCCTGTCTCAAAAAGCCCCCCCCCCAAAAAAAAAAAAATACTAGCCTGGTGCTTGGGAGGTGGAGGCAGGAAGATCAGGAGCTCAAGATCCTAATTGTGTGCTCAAGGTTAGCCCACCAAGCTCCACTGGATAGCTCTAGACTCATCGCGCAAACAGCGCTGGTTAAATTCAGTGGGCCACAAAAACAAAGACAAGCATGTGAGAAAGGGATTGGTGGGGAGGGCCAGCTGGAGCTACAGGGAGACCCTGTCTCAAGGCAAAAAAAAAATTTGAGTTCAAGGTCATCCTTGGATAACTTGGCAAGTTCAAGGCTAGTCTGAGTTTCATGAGCCCAGTCTCAAAAAGAGCCAGATGGAGTGGCCCACACATTTAATCCTTGCGCACTAGAGACAGAGTTTGAGGTCAGCCTGGTCTACATAGTGAGATCCAGGCCAGCTAAAGCTACGTACTGAGACCTTGTCTCTAAATAAGTAAAAATGAATAAAAAAGGTTTCCAGCCACTAACTCACCTTGAGGAGCCATATACTGACTGGACTGAGTAGCAAAAAAATTGATGTTACCAGCTGTGGTGTTGGCACAAGAATTAGAATCTGGTGATTGGCAGCTTGTCCACAGCCTAGGTAGGCCTACTGTGCAAGAAGGGACGTGTCTAGCTGCTTTGACCCAGAAGTTGAACTTGCTGCTGTGACCTGCTGCCTGTGGCCATGCAGGGCCTGGGTGGCCTGCGGCAGGCACAGAGATTCCCTTCTGACTCGGTCAGCTCAGGTGTCTGAAGACAACTGCAGGGGAAGCCTGGGCTGACCAGTAGGCCACCTCCAGTGAGTTCTGTCTGGAGGTAGATTGAGCCAGGATGTTTCTGGACTCTTTACCCCAACCCTTCCCAGAAGGGTGAAGAAAGATGGGAGGTACTGAGCTGGTTTACAAACGCAGCTAAAACACTCCAAAGCCAGTTCAGAGCACAATGTGCAAGTCTCCTGCACCAAGCAGCCAGAGGAGGGAAGAGTCGAGTCCTAGAATTTACCTCTGCCACCTTCCTGACTGCTTTCTTAGCCAGTCATCTGATGGAAGTTAGGCCCCCTGACCTAGACAGGTGGACAGGCTTAGGCCGGACTTTAGGGCATCCCAAGTGTCTTGGCTGAGACAACACCTTTTGCCAGGTGAGTTCCCCTGGCTGCACCTCCCCACCCATCTCCAGCCCCTACCACTCTCTGGTCTTGAAGGGAAGGACTGTGTGTGGACAGCAGCCCCTCTGGTGAGCCAGTGGCAGGCTGGACTGCCTGTGACCACCCAGCTCCCTGGTGGCCAAGGCCCCTGCACACAGCTCCTCTTAATAAACTTTGTAGCCCTTAAGTGGGCACCATGAGCCAACTATACTGTGGCCACCGCTTGTGACATACAGTGACTGAGGACGTGAGTGGTGTCAGGTGGACAGCCACTCTACATCCCCCCGCCCCTTGTGCCTGCCAACAGGTCCCTGCTTAGCCTCTTGCCCTAACCCTCAGGGCCTCCCCGAGGAGCAAGAGGATGTGTTCCTCTCCCTTCTAGCCTGTGCTGGCTTTGCTGCCTCATCACAGCCCTGTGAGGGGACTTGGGGCTCAGCCTCAGGGACTTCCTTTTTCTCGCAGCAGCCAAGGGACTGCTCTGGGGAAAGGCAGCTTATAGAAGCATCTCGTTCTTTTGAGAGAAGCAAAGAATGGGCCTACAGTGCCTGGTCCCTGGCTTTGGGCTGTAAGGCCCACACAACCACTGTCACCTGCTGGAGTGACTCGGGAAAGGGAGATCCCCAAGCTTGAGGCAGCCCTGTAGCTGCTGCTGGTGCTGACGCTACAACACGTGGGTGTGAGGGCCTCATTCAGACTTGGGATGTGGGCTCAATGAACAAAAATCTCTCTGTGGTGGCAAGCTTTTTATTTTATTACTTTTATGCGTGAATGTATCACCTGCATGTATGTGTTATCTGTGTTGTACAGTGACATCGGAGGTCAGAAGAAGGTGTCGGATCCCCTGGAACTGGAGTTGTGCATTATTGATCATATGGTGCTGAGAATCGAACCCAGGTCTTCTACAAGAGCAGTCACTGCTCTTAACCGTGAGCCATCTCTCCAGCCCCAGGGGCAAGCTGTCTCCCAGCAAGTACAAGTCTGTTAGCCTCTGTGGGCATGGGCACAGCAGCCATACTCCACATAGGGCACCCACCACTGCCCCACGTCCTGAGATGCCTGATGTGTGCTCTTGGACCTCTGGGAGCCTGTGGTCCTGGAAGCTCTTTGGGGAACACGCTACAGGCCCAGGAACCCAGGTAGCACCTGTATTCACAGGCCACAGAAGCTGACCACCACAAAATGACAGGCAGGCCAGGCATGATGGCACATGCCTTTAACTCCACTCAGGAGGCAGAGGCTGGAGGATCTCTGTAAGATAAAGGCCAGCTGGGGCCACAACGGGAAGGAAGGAAGACCCTGTCTCAAAAAGACCAAAAGTATGACAGACGGCATACTGGCAAGAAAGGGGGCGCTTCAGGGACTTCTTTTAGTTTATTTTTCCTTTTTAAACAACATATACATAGTAACGGATTTCAGTAGGATATTTTCATACATATATTAATATATTTTAGTCATGTACATGCCCACTTGCCCTCTGGTGTTGCTTTTTAAACTAGGGTCTCTTGTAGCTCAAACTGGCCTCAAACTTGCTGTTTACCTGAGAACTCCTGAACTCCTAATCCTCCTTCCTGCCTCCATCTTCTGAGTGCTGGGATGACAGGCATGCATCACCACATCCTACAAGAATGTCACTCTAGAGCTATGCAAAGTAAAGTTTGGGGTGTTTGTCAGCCTGGTGGGGAAGGGGAGGTGGCAGCCACGTCACAGGCGAAGGGCGCACCCTGGGCTCTTCCCCAAAGAGCACAGGAGCTACAGTATTCCATGGTAGCAATTACCCTATGACCCTAGCCCTTCAGACAGGCACTGCGTATCACTGGAAACCCAGTGCTAGCTAGCGGCTTGCTCCTTCCCAGTCCCTCTTGAGAGTGAACATGGCCTCTGTTTCCTATTCCTTTTCCTCCAGGCCCTGTAGCCCCCTCCCCATGGGCTACTCTCCTGAGGTGGACTGGTGTCACAAATGGTCAGGGTTTCCATGTGCCTTTCTATGCGCTGAGGCCTGGCCTTTACTCACTGGGGAGGTACTCTGTCAACTCAAGTTTTCCCCACATACACATCTACAAGCCACCTGCCCAAGGGAATCCCTCTACCTGACACCACCAGTGGAGGGGCCTGGCAGGTTGATGCATGTGCATAACTCTAACATGAAGTTCCTCTCTTGTGGCCAGGAGGCGACACTGACCACCCCTTCCCTAAGAGGCTAGAAAGTGGCCTCCACCCCTTCACTGTCATCCCCAGCGTCACTTCTGCTCACAGAGCAGGAGGGTCTGCCACCTCTCCCTAGGCTCTGTTCCAGTCCTTCCTTCTAGCTGATCAAATGGTCTGTCGTCCCTGTCCTGAGCCCATCTGAACCAGACACTGTGGCCTCTCCGTCCGTCCCCATCACTTGGTGTGTCTGGTTGGTGATATCTCCCAGTCTGACTTCCAGGCTTGATTTCTGTTCCCCAGCTGTAACTGGTCATGCCTGCCTTCTTTGCAGAGAGCTCTGAGTGTTAACAGCCTGCTGCAGAGCCTATTGGCCCTGAGGGACGTGTTGCCACCCAGGGCTGCCTGGAAGGGTCCCCAAGCGCCTGTGGGTTCTGCTGACCCAATCATACACTAGCTCCATGGTAGGTAGATGGCTGGAAGTGGGGGGCCTGGGTAGAGGAACCAACAGGACTGGCTAAGCAGTATGCCATCCTTGCCAGGAATTCTCAGACCCACCAGGCCTAGCAAGTCCCTCTCAGGCCCGTTGCAGACACCAAAACTGATCACACAACCCAAGGAGTTTTTGGTTATTTTGTTTTTGTCTTTTTTTGAGACAGGGTCTCTCTGTAGCCCCAGCTGGCCTGGACTTGCCATGGAGGCCAGGTTGGCCTTGAACTCACAGAGATCCACCTGCCTCTGCCTCCCAAGTGCTGGACACAACCCAGTTTTGTCCTGATGGCTGGGAATGGGGAGACTAAAATGGAAGCCACTGCTTTAAGACAGCCAGACAACCTGAACGTCAACAGGATGGGAAGTCCAGGCCAGGGAGGTGGAAGAGTCCAAAACCCAAAAGCCACAGCCCTTCCCACTCTGCAACAGGCTTCACCTTGGGGTGCTAAGGATGCTGATTAATGAACAGCTGCTCCACCATCAAGGTGGGGATGGATAGGTGACCCTTGACCTGGCCAGTTTGCCAGGCTGCCGTGGTGGCAAGGCCCCTTCCAGGACACACGCAAAATGTTTTTATTTATTTTAATTATTTATTATTTT